TGTAGTATCGAGTGTATTTGAGTTAAGAGTATGTTGTAATGAGGTATCGATAAGGCTAAGTAGTAGTTGGTTAGATGAACAAGTTGTTCAGTGAAAGTGTAAACTAGTTTGGTGGCATTGGTGTCAAGTAGGTAAGTATGAAGAATAGCATTTATATAGAATATGTGGAGCAGAAAGTTCATCTAATAGAATTTTAATTCTAAAGGAATTGAGAGTAGAGAACTAAAAGTTATAAGAAAAGTTTGAGATTTTTTAATTATTGTTAATATAAAGCCAGATAGCTTGCCAGTTAACTTGGTTAAGAATTTTGTGCTATTTTTGAAAATGATTTTGTGTTATCTAGAGTGCATATATATATGCATGATATATTGTACGAATGCTACAATGAATAGGTAACTCTAAGGGAAAATTCTCAAAGGTTAAAGTATAAGCTAAGTTGTAAGTATTATAAGATGTAAAAATAAGATATAGCAGGTTGTAATAGTTATGTGCTAGTTGGTCAGCAAGGTTGTTATATTTGTTATCCTAATAAGCAGTAACTTTGTGAAAGATAATATGAATATTGTATAATTTAATGAAATTGATAAGTGTGTTCCATAATGGGAAATATAGTATATGAGTATATGGTATAGTTGTTGTTAGCTTGGAAAGTATAAAGTACAGAATCATTTGAAACTTGAACCCATCCAATACCTATTGAGCATTGTGAGGTGCTCAAGTTTATAACTGAGCCATCTGTATAAAAATGAAGTTCTGATAAGTTGGAGTTATAATTAGCAATTTGCAGAAGATTGTTTGTAAGTGAACTGTGTTTAAAGATATTTGGAATTAAGTATATTGTAATAGTGATATTAGAAGAGTTTGGAGTTTGAATAGGATGTCTAATTCCAATAAAATATATAAGATCAAGATGGTTAGCATTAAAGTTAAGAGTTTTGTTATATATATTAACTTGATCATAAATTTAGTTGAAACATTAATGAAAATAATAATTGTGCATTTGTTAGCTATTGTGTGAGAATTAAGACAACAGCCTGAGCATGTATTTGATTGAATAGGTGAAAAAGAATAGAGATGAGTAAATTGTGATTCAATATGATATTGCCAATAAGTTATAAGAACAGTTCCAGATGGTAAAAGCTGTTTTTTAGCTTTGTTAATAATAATTTGGTTGTCAAGAACTGTGATAAGCCATGGTTTTTCTTGTAAAGAAATATGTCCAGTTGTATAACTATAATAATTTGTATTAAGTAAATGAAAACAAAATTATTAATTTCATAATAGTTATGTTATCGGTATAATTAAATTTCTTAAATACCAATTTATATAACTGATTTTTAGAATAATACTAGGATGGTTACTATTGTATAAATTTTTTATTTTTTTTGGTATTAAGGTGAGGCCTTGCTCATATCTTTATTAGTAATTTTAGTTGTACATATTAATATACTATATACTAAGATATACTAAGATTGTAAACTACAAAATAAAAATTACATGCAAGAATTAAAGCTTAGACAGTTTTATCTATGACCTAAACCAAACTATTGTATAAATTAAACATTTTGATTGGTATATTATCATAGAAAATCATAGATAGATCTACAAAAATTAACCAATCATACGAAAGTCTACCTATGAAACAATACTCTGATTATATAATGAAGTAACATGATCAAAAGATCACTGACAAAATAACCAGACACATTAAAGTATAACTGAGCCCTTAGCAGTGTTCTTTGGTTTTAGTTATACAGAAAATTCTATTATTTTGAAGGTTGTACATATTCTTCACCTTCTTAGTAGTGACAATAATTAATTTTACTGATTCTTTGAATATTTCTTTTTTTGATTAATTTGATAAGAATCTCTTGTCATCTTTCCTCTTTTGTCATATTCTTTGACATATTTAGGAATATAATATTTGAATATTTTTGTCATGTTATCAGTTAATGTTAGTGTGAACACTAAGTGTTTATATTGTTCATAATCTTATCATTCTAATTTTAATTGTTTCTTAAGTTCATTATTCTTGATTTGGTTTAATTTATTATATTGTACTCAATATAGATATGTTGGTATTTGTACTAGTCAATGTTTTCTCATCATACTTATCAATTGTTGTTACAAATATTTTGTGTTCTGAAATACATTCTATATCTTCAATGACTCATTGACTATCTATGGGTTTTCCGTAGTAATACCTTACATGTCCAAATAATGATTCATCTATTTCTATAATAATATCTTTTTCTCCTATTTTATTATATATGTTATTTATTTGTGACTTAATGAGTTGTCTAATATTGTTTATATTATTTGCTATTGTTTGTATCAAATGTCTAGTCATTATATGAATGGGTGTTGCTGGCATTTTGATTAGCCATAAATAGTATATTCTAAATATTTTATTGATAGAAATTTTGTGATTTTCAAAGAATGAGAATGTGAGTACAGATTGTGATATTTTACAATCATGTTACATACAATTCCATTTCTTATCTTTTTGTTTTATTTCATTCTCATATTGCCAATATTTTTAACTTTTATAGAGAATTCTTTCTTGTTGTAGGAATTTGATACATTCCATTTCATCTTCTAAGATATTCTTTATTTGTTTTTCTAATAAAATCCTTGCTTTAATAAGAAGTTCATTAATAATTCTTTTAACATCATCTTTTATTTTTTAGATGATTTTAAATTCTACAAATGAATTTGTATTCCAAATATCATTGTATATAAAGTATCTATCTTGAGGTGGACAACTTTCTTCTTATATCATCCAATATTTTCTATCTAGTATTACAAGTGTTGTATATGCTGTTATCAAGTTTTGCATTATTTTTCTACTTAAGAAGTAACTTTTTTAGCTTGTTTTTCCTCAAATTCTTCATGAGTTTTGTTTATATAATTGGTTTTCTTATAACTCTTTTTATACTTTTTCTATCAATTATTCTATTGTTTTAGTTTATTAATTTCTGTATTATTCTTATTTTATTGTATTTTTTAATTTGTCTACTTTTAGAAGTTTTCTGTTATAGATTTTGTTGCTTACTCCTCATGTATTCTTCTTGAACTTAGAGTTGTTTTTCTTGATGGTTTCATTTGTCTTCTTTGGAAAAATTCTATCTTTCCCAACTTTAATTCTTATTACTATTGCTTTTGTAAACAATCTACTTTCTCTGCTGACTATGTCAAGCCTTATTTATCAAAGCTTTTTTCTGATAGTTATGATAAAGTGTTTTCTATTTTGGATAACTCCATTATTGATTATTCCAAAGATTATTTTTTTTTCTTGAAAAGAATATAAATTCTCTTGAGGATTTTATCTTTTTTCTATTTGAGAATTGTCCTAATCCTGATAAATTTACTTCAATTCATCATTATTACTTTGTGACCTCCAATTAACACTTTTGGCATTATGATTTCTTTGGTCCTGATTTCCATAATAATAAGTATACTATGTGTTATACTTCTCTTCAACTTCTATATGAGGATTTTTCATCAATTTTTGTTGACTTATCTCTTAAGGATGGTAAGGTATTTTCTTGTTATTAGGTTTTTATGCATTGCCAGACTGGAGTAGTTAGATTTAACTACCTCTGGCCCATAATGCATAGCAATCAAATATTCTATTCTAATCCTTACTTTTTATTATAGATCCTATTACTACTAAGGTTCATTCTTCTAGAATTTCTCAATCTGTTTTATCTATGATTGATTGTTTTGATGCTCTTGACCTTTTCCAAGATTTTTCTGAAAATTCTAATCAAGAATATAACTCTGGTCCAGAAATCTATTCTGATCAAGGATGTATTTATGTTAATTATTATTCTCATAATTCTGATGAGAGTATTGACAAAGATGAATATTATAATTATTTTGATTAAATATATTTTAATAAAGGATTATCCCTTCTTTTTGAGTTGTTTTAACTCTTCTAATTGTTGTAACTCATTTGTTGTTCCTTTAGTTAGGAAATCTGCTACAAAGTTTTGTGCTTCTTCTATTCTATATATATGAAGGTTGACTGTTTGTCTGAGTTCTGTATCATAATTGTCTAGTGTTTTATTGATATATCATTCAGTTTTATTTGCTATAACTTCTGTTGCATCTAAGTACACATGTAACTCTTGTGTTTCTATATAATGCTTTTACTGTTTTACAAAATAATATATTGCATACATTTTTTTTAATGTTGTTGATCAATTTTTCTGTGTTGCAGATAGGCCATGTGGCCCAATTTCTATAATAGTCTTGTTATACCTTGGTGGTTTGAAGAAATCATTAAGTTTACTTCATAATAAATCTTTCTTTTTTAGAGATTCTTTTACTTTTCAATAATCTTGTGATTTATCTTCTTGTTGATATAGTATTGCACCTATTGCATAATCTGAAGCATCTGTTTCTATAAAAAATGGTTTGTTTGGATTTGGGAATAATAGTAGTAATTCATTTTTTACTTATTGTTTAAGTTCTTTCATTGCTTTTTGGCAATCATTAGTCCAATTAAATTCTGCTGTTTCTACTAATCCATATAATAGTGTTGCTACTTTTGCAAAATCTAGAATAAAGGATCTAAAATAATTCATAAATCCTAGGAATCTTTGCAACTCTGTTTTGTTTTTAGAAGTAGTAAATTTATCTATTTTCTTAATCTTTAAAACATTTTTTCTAATTTTTCCATATGACACTTTACAATTTAATATAATTGTTTCTTGAATGAGAAATTTGCATTTTGATAGTTTGATTTTCAGGCCTGCTTTTTTTAAGCATCTTAACATCTCTATTAATTTTATTTGAGCCTTGGATTTATTATTCTATAAAATTACAAAGTCATTCATGTAGATTACTATATAATCTAAGTATCCCAATATTTTGTTCATTGCTCTTATCAAGTATGCTAGTGCTGTGCTTATTCCAAATAGTAATGTATGCCAACAGTATGTTCCATATTCTGTGAATGTTGGCACTATATATTTCTTTAAATTTTCATGCATCACTAGTTGCCAGTATGCTGATTTAATGTCCATTATTATATAGTACTTATATTTACTAACAGTTTGCAACATTTGTTTGGAGTCTGGTAATAGTTCTTTATATTGCTCTAAGTATTTATTTATATTTCTATAATTTATTGCAATATTCTTTGTTCCATCTTTTTTAGTTATTACTAGTGCAGAACTTTCCCATTCAGTATTTCTACTGAATATTATATTATTTTTCATTAGGTCATCTCATATTTCTTTGATAATCTTTTTATCTTCTTTACTATATTTTCTTAATGCTTATCTTTTTTCTCACATTGGTATTTTACTTTCTTTTATTCCATTTTTTAAATTTAATTCTATTGGAGGTATTTCATTAATATTTACTCTAGTTGCATATTCTTGCTTTTCTCTAAATATATCAACATATTCTGTAAGAATATGACCAATTTGTTTTCATGTTCCAGGGCCTTCAGTTTTTTCACATTGATTCTTTAGAATCAAGATGTGTTCTTTTTCTTTTTTACTCTGATCTTTCAGATCAGGCAGTTTTGTAAGAAAAATTTCATCATTTTTCTGTATTTTCTTAACATTTCTAATATGTTGTTTTCTGTTGAATTTCATATTTCTACTTGATATATTCATTATTGTTATGTAACTATCATTTGCTATTCTAGATTAGATGATTATTCCTTTTTTAGCAAGGTTTACAGGGATCCCTATATATCTATTTTCTACAGGGTTTTTTATCCTGATGTGTCTTATATTCATAGAGAGTATCTCTGTATTTTCATTACAGAATATCTTATAATCTACCTGTTTTCCTTTTATTATAGTTAGTAAGATTATATGTTGTATTTCTATTGGCATTTCTCTGAAATGTCCATACAGACTATTATTTTTTTTATTTGTTTCTGTTATTTTATACCCTTTATTTGTTTTTTCTTCTTTGTTACTTTCATATTCATGTTGAATACTTTCGTAGTTTTGCTATGCCACTTCTGGTGGAGTGTATGCATATGCTTTTTGTCATTGTTCATCTGTTAAGTTACTGTTTCTTGTTACTGGGTATTGTGCTGTTTGTCCATTTCATGGTATTTCTAATATTCTAGTGTCTTCATCCTCATATCTTATTGGTTTTGAGGATTTACCTATTTCTTCTTGATTATTATACCTATTTTTATAATAATCTTGTACATCATCTTTTATGATATTATCTAATTCATTTATTTCTTTTTCATCTTCAGATGTTATTTCTTCATTTTTACTTTCTTGAAAGAGTTTTCTTCTAATATCTCTTTCTTTCTTCCATTTATCTCCATTTGTGGAGGATAAATTTGTATCAGTTAATACAACTGTTCTTGTTCTTTTAAATTTTACAGGTGGTTTTTGAAGTTTAAATTCTTTATCATCTTTTTCTAGATTTATTTTATTTTTTAAACTAGAAGGTATCTTTGGTAGACTTGATGTACTGCTATTTCTTCCATGTGTTCTTCTAAATATTGGATCTATAATATTTTTATTTACAAAGTCTTTTATCAGAAAACTTAGTCTTGGTGGTTCTTTTGTTTGGCTTTTTAATCATTCTCTTATATTTCTGCTTTGAGATTAAAATCTTCTTTACTAGAAGTTGAAAATACAGGTCTTTTTCTATAAGTATTATCTTTTGGTATATACCTATTATGAACAGATCCTTCTGGTAGGAATGTTTCAGGTTGTAGTTTTCCTTTTACTAATTTTTGATTTTTTATAAACCTTTTTTCTATTTCATCATCATTATGCATTTTTTCTTGTTTTTCCAATAATGATGCTAATAGCTCTTTATATTTGTCCTAAAATTATTTTCTTACTTTTTCACTTGAGAATTCTGATCCTATCAAGAAGTTTCTCATTGCTATTTGTTGTTCCCATGTTTGCATTTGATTAAACTCTTCTTTTGTCATATTTAATAATACATACTTATTAAATTGATATTTTTCTTCTATTTGTTCAATCACATCTTTATTTTTCCATACTTGTTGGTCTTTTGACTCTGTTAATGCTCATATTACATTATATAAGGCTTTCTTTCTATCTTCTTCTTTATCATTAACATTTATTTTTACAGTCTTTTTTACTGTTCCTAGATGACTTTTTAATTCTTCATCTGGTAGGTTTGATACATATTTGTAATTATCTTCAATAGTTTGAAGCCTATATCTTAACTGCTTTAAGCTTTTTTCAATTTCTTTACTATCATTTTTCTTTTCTTCTTGTAATATTCTTTCTAATTGTGTAAGATTTTCTTTTACAAATCTTCCTATTTTAAGAGTATCTGATATAGTTGTTTGAATTTCTTTTTCTTTTTGTTTCCCTTTTCTATTTTTGAAAACTATTCTATTGGTTTCTTTAAATCTTTTAATTTCTTCTTGCACATCCACAATTAATTGTTCATTCAATTTTTGTTATGCTTTGTTAATTGGTTTTTTATACTGAGCATGTATTGTCATATGTTTTATTTGATCAACTAAATCTATTATAGTTAGTTCTTCAAATTGCATTCTATAAAGAATATCAGCAATTCCTTCATAATTTTCTCTATTTTGTTCTAATTCTTTATCCTTTTCTTTGGATCATTTTTTTTGTATTGTTTCTTTATTCAATACATCATTAGCATATTCTCTTAATTTTGTTACTTCATGAATTTGTACAATTTGTTGTGTAAATTCATTATTGGGTATTTTCAATATCATGGCATAGACCTCTTTATGCCCTGCTATCATCTAATAGACTTCTATAGATATTTTTGCTGCTAGATCTATTATATGTGCATGCTTGTCTATTCCTTTACTGAATATCACTTTCAGTGGACTATTGTTCACATGTGTTACTATTATTTTATGGCTATACATATTGTATATATTTTGATATTCATCAATTTTTTTGCCTCTATTTGCCACATAATAATGTTGAGTATCAAAGCATATTCCAATCTTTTTCTTAGATTTCTTTTTGTTTTTAAACCTTAACTGTTGATCTATACTATTTACTATATCTATGAAGTCTAGTATTATTGCACTATAGCAATTATTACTTGCTGAGTTTTCTAATAATGTACCTATTTCTAATTGTTGTTGACCTAGTTCTTTTAATATTTTATTGATATTATCGATCACATCTGATCGATTCTTATCTGCAGCTGTTCCAATATGTATTACAGCTCATTTTATTCCTATTTTATCAGTATGATATATTTCTTCTAATATTCTATTTATTTTCCAATGCCTTTTTCCATTATTCCATAATGGATCATTAAGATATAATTCCATTGATATATGTAATATCATTTTTAGCCCAATTTTTCTATTTCTTTATATGATATTATTATCTTCTTATATATTTAGTTCACCATTTTGTACCATCATATATTTTTTCATTTGTTCATTTTTGTATGTACCTCTAGGTTCTTTATATTTTAAAATATTTGTAATAAGTTGGAATCTGTTGCTAGAGCTGTTCTAACTATATCTATCCAATTTTCATTATATATAACACCTATTAATTTTGATCTTTATTGATTTCTTTCAACTTGTTTTCTAAGAAGTATTTCTTGTTCCTTTAAAGAATATGGTATTAATTCTTTAAATATTTTAATATTTTTGGATTTCTAATATTCAATATCAGTCCATTTCATTTTTTTCTCTGTATTTTTCAATTGTTTGTCATTTTGTTTAGTCTTATTTGATTGGTTGGCCATCTGAGTTGATGTATGGATGTCAGTTTTCATACCCATGTTGGGTGCCAAGTGAAGTGCAGATGACTAATATTCATTAGTTGGTTTACCTTTATTTATATTAGCTTGATTAGCAGATGTGTGAGTTCTTTGATTACTAAATATGTTGGGTGTCATCGAGATGTTTTTTCTTACTTTTAAGGGGATGTTTCTTTTTAAGAGTTATTTAGATAAATATAAAGGGGGTTGGTTTCTCAAGGTTAAGTGAGCAGGTTCATCATGAACTAGGTTGTTACATCTATAATCTGTGTCAGATCGTATTTCTTGGTAGCTAATAGGCTTGTTATTGATTAAGGCTATTTTATTTTGTCCATATTAGTAATATGTAATCTTGCTTGATCAACTTCAGATAAGAGAAGGTAAGGTTGTTCTCCTTTGATGATAGTTACTTTGATTTGTGCTTGAATATCTTCTATCTGGATTGTTACTTTTACTTCTCCTAGATTTGAGATTGTTTTTCTTCCTGGTAATATTGCCTTTGTTCTGTTGTCTTTGTCTAGATATTGTAATAAGTTTTATTCTATTGCAATGTCTTATCCTATCATGTTTCCACTTGCTCCTTCATCAAGAAGTACTTTTATTGGCCAGTTGTTCATTAGTGCCATAAAGTAATATGCTTGTTTTCCTTTTGATCTTTTGCTTAAGTCTAGCCAGTAAACTTTTTGAGAAAATTGATATGTTTTCTTCAAGTATTTATATCCTTTGTCAATACTTGCTTTTTTAATCATTTTTTCAGATAATACATTTTTGGCAAAGCATTTGATATATGGGTTATTAATATTATGATCTTTATTTAATATTTTCTGATTAATACATATGATATTATTGATATGTTCTTTAAAAGACTTTTGGTTCTTTTTAATATTATGAATATTAATATGCTTTATAGTGCAACTATTATCTTGGTTAGGGAGTCAGTCCTGAGCACTATGCAGGCTCCCATTTAAAAAAAATATGTTTTAGAAGAAGATGCCTTTGAAGAAGATGCTATAGGTTCTTCATCATCTTTTTCTTTGTAATGATTGTATCATTTTGGATTTTCTTTTCTTTTAAAATCTTTTTTATCATTTCTTGGTTTCCTTCTTTCAGTTCTTTTAGGTTTTTTATAACCCTTTTCTTTTTCTTCAGGTTGATAATTATGCTATCTTCTAGGTGGTTTTTGATCTTTGTTATATCGATTTCAATTATTGTTATTTCAATTGTTATTTCGATTATTACTTCTGTTGTTTCTATTATTCCTATTATTGTTGTTATATCTTCCAATTTGCATTTGGTTATTTTTTGATCCATTGTAATATTTTTCATTATTTCTTGAACATGTTCTTTCATGTCTTAGTGAAAACTTTTTGCAGTATTGACATAGTTATTTGAATGTCTTAGGAAAGTTTTTTGGCATTCCTTTGAATTTAAATTGATTAAAAGATTCTTTTCTTTCATTAATACAATCTCTTGCAAAATAATCATATTGTTAACATTTAAAGCATCTAGCTTTAGATTTGTTCATTGGTTTTCTTTCATTGAAGTTATGAATCTTGATTTTTGATCCTATCTTGATTTCTCCTTTTGAAATCATTTCATTTCTTTTTGCATAAAATATAGTATTTACTTCTTTGAAAAATGCTTGTTTAGTTAATAGTTTCTTTGCCATTATTTGGTAATTGTAGGTAATTGGTACTATATCTAATAGTCTTGCATATTCTCCTTGGTTTCATCCTGCATATGTGAAGTTTGATAGTGCCATTGTTTCTTCATATTTATTTCTGAAGTTATCTATATCATTTTCTGTACTATAATCTGATTTGTATATAAGATTTTGGAAATTTTTTTGTCTTTCTAGTTGAATTTCATCTGTTAGATATGCATTATCTAATAATTTTCTTAATGATATTTGAAATGTTTGATATATACATTGACTTTTGCCTACTAATCCTATATTATGCCAATTATCAATAGTATAATTTACTCCTGGTGTTAATGGGTAATTGGTTGAATATTTTAGATTATTTAACTTATTTTAAGTTGTTATTACTCTAAAGTAACAATTCACATTTGGGTTTGTTGTTAATAATCTTCTAGCTGCTCTATATAATTTTGTATATATTACTAATTTTATTCTTTTAAAAAATTTCATGTTCCAGTATGCTTTTGATAAATCTGCTCCTGAGTCATAATTTGGTTATTGTATAATATATCCTAAGTTTGAGTTTCTACTAAATCTTCCAAATATGGTTAGTGTATTATCCATATCCATTTCAGTAATTTTATTTCTAATTCATTTCTCTATTGGATATATTCTGCCATTTCTCTATTGAAGTTTCTAATTCCATACAATGATTTTAAATTTGGAAATCTTATTTCTGGTTATGCTACTATTTTAATATATTTGTGATTTTATTATTTTGGTGTTTCTTAAATAGTCTTGTATTCTTGTTTCAGCAATTCCTGATTGCTATACTGCTAGATTATATATTGAGTAATCTTGTAGTTCATGACTATAAATTATTAGGCAGGCTAATTCTTCTTCAGATATTGTTCTTATAAATCTTCTTCTTGTTGTCACTTTTACTTTTATTGTATGTAGTGCTGAAGTAGTAGCTGGAGCTACTGTTATATTTACTCTAGTTAGCTTTTCTTCTTTGATTATTTCTGTTACTTCTTGTCCTACTTTTTGTAATTTGGTTAATAGTTTTTCTTTTGGTTTTTTAAGTTCTTCTTTTTCTAAAGAGGATAATTCTTTTGATCCGTATTTATAATAGTATGCTAGAAAGATTAAATAATATGTTTGGCTTCCTTTGTTACAAGTAAACATTAGAGTTTGTTTTTGTTAATTTCTTTTTCTCGGATTTTTGATCCTATTTCTACAATGAATTTATTTGGTTCTTGTAGTTCTATGACTAATTTTTGTAGTTTGATAAGATTTTCTGTTTGGATTATGTTTGGTTTAAGTTGTTTCTTCTACTTTTCTAGTAAATATTTTTTTACTGAATAATTCTTTGGTATTTTAACTTTTTCTTGTTTTTGACTTCTTGGTTTACTTCTTTAATATATTTAGATTTTTTTTTGATTGTAATAATTCAAGCACTAATCCTTTGTAGGGTTCTTTAGTTATATACTTGTTTATTAAAGTGTTGCTGTTATTGCTTTTACTTGGTTAGCAATATTTTCATTTTTATTTTCTTTATCATGTTTTGCTAATTCGTTTTTTTTGCACTTTATACAAAAGATTATGATAAAGATTGTTATTCCTAATACTATAATTAATGTTACTATTACTGCTACTATATCTACAACATTTTGATCTTGAAAGAATGCTGGATTCTCAGTTGTGAATAGTGATGTTGTTGCAGTTGTAGTTTGAATAGTTGTTGCTGTTACTATTAATATTATGTTGGTATAGTTATTTGTATAACAGTATTTGCCATTAATATGTTGTTCCAAATTGTTTATTAATTAGTCCTATATTTGGTATTGCTGTTCTTGTTGCTTGGTTCAAGGTTAATTGTTATTCTAATGTTCTTTTCTTTTGTTTCTTTTTATTGATAAGTATTATGATTATGAATACTATCAGTTCTATTATTAACAAGATTAGAGTTGTTATTTCTCCTAGGAAGGATGTTACTTTAAGTTTTATTTATTTCTTCTTTCTGAGTATATTTGTCTTAGGTGCCACTTGTAATAGTCTTAAGACATTTGGTATAGGTGGTAAAGGTCTTGTAGGTTTGTTAGTCCTTATATCTAAGATATTATTAATTCTTCTTGCTAGTTTCAATTGAGTTTAAGTTGGTCTTAGATTTGGTATTAATCTTATTTGTTTTGATAATAGGTTATATAATAAAGGATTATTGGTGTTGAACATATATTAACAATAGCAGCAATTGTTATTTGCTTCAAGGTACTGGTTTGCTTTAGGAATTGTCTTGAGAACTCTCTTTTTATATCTTTATTGTCTATAACAGCAAATAAATATTATTAATAGTATTGTTATTCTTTTAATAATTAGCTAATAGATAAGAATTATTGCAAATAAATTGTTATCTATTGTTGTACAATTATTTGTAATGTTTGTTGACATCAGATTGCTTTGTTAGCAATCTTATCTCTTGTCTTGATAAGAAGTAAATATTTGATTATGTAAGAAGTTCTTTTAATTATTCCAAATTAGGTTTAATATAATAGTAATTGAATTTGATTATTCAATTTTTTTACTTAGTTTCTTGCTTTACTAAGTTTTCTTTTGCATATACAGATTATTGTAGTTATTGTTGTTATTGATCCTATTATTGTTACAAATAATACTAATAGCTCTTTTATAACATTTTGGTCATTGAAAAAGTTTGCCTGAGTCATTGTTTATACAGATTGTATTGTGGTTGGAGATATTATGATTGATGGTAATAATATTGGTACAGTTATATCGATAGTTTTTCTTCTTGATATCAGTATAGTAAGTACTGCTAATATCAAAATTATTTGGTAAAATCACATTAAGTTGTTAAAGTACTAATTACAGAATTTGATATAGATTTCTTCTTAGATGATCAGTCCAAGGGTGTAATCGAGTTGAAGTTTCATTTTCACTTTCCAGCTGCCTTTTTAGCTTCTTTTTTGGTAGTCAAATCTAGTAATATTATCGCAGATAATCTTTAGTATATTAGAATCTTGTTATGTCTGATAAGAATTTCTTAGACTCTCTTTGTCAATTATGTTTTTCTTGTAGTCATGAATAATTTTAATATAAATGTTGAATAGTTTTATAGTTGGGCACTACTCCAACTCTCTTTATATTGTATTATATATCAAGGATAGATAAGATTCTTGTAGTACTTGTATTTATTATCTCAATAATACCTTCTTTATATTTTCTCAATATATCTTTATAGTTTCTTTAAAGTAGTTTCTTTATTTTATAAAAGTTTTTAGATACTTGCTTGTTCAAGTCTTAGACTACTTTTCACTTATTTAAAAGATACTTTTTTATCTTAGAGTTTATTAAAATCTTATAGATTTACTCTTACTAATACTTGTTTTATAAAAACTTTTTATTAGAGTCTGCACAGAATAAAAGTTTATGTTCAAAGACTTTTCTTTAAATAAAATATGTGTTTATTAAATAATAAATATATTAAACTATATACTAGTAGTTATTATCTTCTTGCTCAAGATTGGTGGTTGTATATTGTTAGATTTGGAGTGGGTTTGCTACTATATTGTTTCTTGTTACTGATAGGTTCTTGTGAGTTCTTTATCACATTATAAGTATGTCTCTGTTAATAAGCTTTTGGCTATCGATTTACTTTCCTTTGATCTGCAGGTGTATAATTATATATCCTATTTGTTGAACATTTTGAACATCTTAGATATAAGGTTGGTTTATATATTAGATGCCTTGTGGTTTGTAATATTTCTTTAATACGTTGGGCTTCTTTTTTGTATATGTTATTTGTTGAGCATTATTAAGTTTGTTTTCTAGTTTTTTCTTTTTAGATTGAACACCTTAGATATATCTTTTATAAATATGTTAGACACCTTGAGCTTCTGTTTTTGAAATTCTGTATTTTTAATTTCTTAGACTCATGTTAGATGCCTTTAAGTTTTCTAAGCTATATTTGAGATTAAATTGTGTTTCTAACACATTGGACTCAATGGGTTTTAAACTTTATTTTTGCTGTAAGCAAAAATTCTAAAGTAGAGAAAGGTAAGATTTTGACTATTGATTTTGAAATAAAATTATGTTCAATACAAAGTATTCTTTGTAACAATTAATATTTCTTGAGATATTTCTACAATTTTAAGATTTATAAAATTCAAGATAAAAATTCTAAAGTAGAGAAAAGTAAAAACTACTGCTATTTATACATTTGCAAAGGCTATGACTATTAAATGATGATAAGCTATAACTAATAATAATTTCATTGTCTTAATAGTATTATGTAAACAGATTGTTAATCGTTCGTTATCATTTCCAGATTTGGTGATCCGTTTCAGCCAATCTATGACTGACGTCTATTTGTCGCACATGTGACACTGCCGGCGGATCTTCCAAGTAACCGGACGCTCCGAAGTATGACCGGGCCATTTTTTGGATCGAGTCCAGGACCGTCGTTTCAGGTCCTAGGACCGGACCGGATCGGATTCGCAATTTAACATCCCTACAACCATTAACCAACAGTTAAGGTTGATCCGGTTTACGGATGGGTTTGACGTATAGTTAGCAATGGTTAGAATTAAAAGTCGATGAAATACTGTAACTGTCTGCGAAACGAGGTAAATTTTTAATAAACTTTAGTTTCAGAACATGCATCTACTGAGAAGTAGCGTAGCGATAATACTTGAGGTTCGATCGCCAGGTCAGACTGACTGATCAAGCCTTTGATACCAAAAACTGGCCATTCAGGTGTAATCTTGAAAACTTGTCTGATTTACATGATGCATTTAACTATCATGGGTGTTGTTTCGAAAATCAGATATTAAAAAATGATATTCTTAATTTCGAAGTAATGGAATTGTCCCATTAATCTTGAAACAAAAACAAAGACATTGGAAGTGTTTAAAATGGTGCGTTATTTCGCAGTTTTACGGTATATTACTATTCAATGGTGTAAGAATCACAAGCCAGTTTTCGGAAAAACTATCTTGGGTCAACAGTCACTTTAAAAATTCATACCTATGAGAACAATTAACTTTGTATGGCCTAATAATCAAACGTATTAATATTAGAGTTAGGATTGTTTTCTAAACTAACCCAGAAAGAGTATGATTTCAAGTTAGCCAGATTATTCGTGGCTCATTTTAGAAATTAATCGGTACATTTGTTTAGATTTTTGATCAGATCGACAAAGCTTGTACTGGAAAATAACATTAAGTGTAATTGTTCATCATTTTTTTTCGACAGAGCCTCATATAAACAATTATTGATATAGTAAATGATCGAAAATCTTGCCGATCATTATCTAAGATGCATGAACAAAAACCAGTTTTATTCGAAATAATAGAAGTGGCAAACTAAAAAAAGTGTCGTTTTGATTTTTCTTCTTGCACGAAATTTGTTATATGATGAAAATTAAATCTTATAATTTGGTCCTTGTATGCATTTTTTTGATATTTATTATATTACCTACAGATTGTGCCACATCAAATTTTACATACTTTGAGAGTGGTGAAAAATCTAGAGTACCCAACTCACCACCTCGTGTAATAGATATTGGATCTTATAATGACGGAACAGCAGTAGTTCAAATAATTCGTAGAAACACCTCTGCGACTCCTCCAACAGGAACTGTCTGCATTGAATCATTATTATCATTACGTGTTATTCATTTAAATGGAAGCGTAACAGAAATTGATGTTGATTTAGGGATTCAATACTTAAATTATTGTTTTACAAGTGTAGCAAAAAGGCCTATGCGTTTTTACCCGTTATATAACGACCTCATTTTATTAACATATACAAATGCTACGGATGAGGGAAATTATTCGACATATTACGAATGGGGAATGGTTATTAATTGGAGCGGAAAGATCTTGAGGTGACTATGTTGACGAATTTGTAAGGGCTATTAAATTTAAATCGTCATATCGATATAATTGTGTTAAATTTTGTTTTTAGCTCAATATCCTTCTCGCAGTCATACGTGAACCCAGAAACTCTTGCTTGGTCGCCTAATCTTGCCGCCATAGTACTAAATATTGATCCTAGACAGGGATTTATCCGCCAATCTCAAATAACCAGACAACCTGTGTCTGAATGGAAGCAATATGATGTGTATGTTTGATTTCGTTACCATTCTTTTTGTTTCGATCATTTGCAAATCTGATGTCTTGTCGGCCTTCATTTTTTTTAGTGATGATAATGGACAAATCTCATTTTTATCCGGAGATATAATTAGGTCGTCTTTAAACATTAGTACAATAATTGGCACTCTAGACGGAGGCTATGCCATTGTGTTCGCTAATGTTTCTAACTCTAATATAAGTCTTAATGACCCATTTGCGGTTCGTGCGGGATTGTATGCTATATTTTTGGCACGTAATCAACCAAATACGGGCATTCCTTATGCTCTATTCCAATCTTCATTACCGAACTTAAATACTAGTTATGTAAGATGCTCTGTAGATCATTCTAGTGTCGGACATATATGCACATTAACCATAGAACAAACGACGAACACTACTTTTGCAAACCTTGCAAACTCCACACGATCTCTTGTCACTCCTTCTTTTAATCCATTTTACATAAAAGTTCGTTTTCTCTCTTCAGGGTCGGTACTGTCTTTATCTTCAATTGAAAAATTGAATCCTGACCCAAGCATTGCCGAATATCGCGTCGAAGCACTGACTTATGGAGGTTATGTGTTAACGGCTTACAACAGCGGCAATTTAAGTTTTTATCTTTATTTGTTTGATGGTTCCGATAACCTAGTTGGATGGGAATTACCTGAACCGCAATCCGCTAATTTTGCCGGTGCATATAAAATCCTAAGTAACAACACTCTCCTGCTGCCCCAGGCTGAAACTACGAATTCTTGGAGGCTCCTTGTGAATGACTTGCCAAAATTTAACATGAATCAAGGTAAAATAATAATAATAATAATAATAAAATAAAAAGGCAATTTTATATTTTGTTAGATCCAAGCTATTCTTTAATATATATTTTTTATTCTTCAATTATAGATCATGGATATCGTAATTTCCAGGTTAACTTGTCAAATCCAGAAATAAATTCCACCGTCCCGTCGAATATCTCTAGCATTTCTATCACATATTACGATCAAGTTGATTTATCGCAAGGAAATCTTACTATATATCAATTTATTGATTCTGATAATGCGATTGTTCGACAAATCGTCTCCGGTGATAGTCAATTTTGCACTCTTTCTCCTGATGGCAAGACTGTGACTATTAATGTAATATCCAGTACTTTCAATGCTCCCGGCCAACAATATTATGTACAAGTTGATAACAATTTCGTAAGGAGTAAATCACTTAAGGAGCCTCTTCTGGGTGTTCAAGCTCGTATCTGGCAATTTTACACAGGTTTATACGCGTTAAATGTTTTTTATATTGCCATATTTGTAAATATATTTAACGCATAATAATTGTTCTTAATGATATTATCAGTTGCCTATGTAAATTACACGCGCGCAGGTAGAGAATTTTATTTTATGTCAATTATTTGTGATTTATAACTAATATTGGTTTTCTTTTTAGGGGATACACAAGGATTGCTACGTTTAACACCAAGTGGAACCCAACTGTTTCATCAAATGAACAGTAGTTCTAAAGCTGCCTTTTTTGCATCCTTAAAAAGTCAACTTTCTCAGATGATTCCTGTGAAATTAGATAGATTAAGTTCTAGTGAAAATTCTCAAGTTATTAATAGTGGAACTCCTTCGGAACAAGCTGTAATTTCGATTACTATCAGTGAACCGAAAAATAATACAGAAAGAAGTGTTCCCTTAGTTATACATGATTTAAACTCCATGATACAAAACAGTGATATAACTATGATCTCTAATGGAAATGCCACAAGATATTTAGATAGAGGCTATGGATTTATAGTATCTCGTAAGAAAATCATTAATATTGGTTGTCAACTATTGTCAAATTATTTTTGATAAATGGCTTCTTTTTTTTTTTTAAACAGCAAACTTATTTGAAAAATATAAGATCAAGTTAGTTGGATTATTTGTAGCTTTGTGCGTATTTATAGTATTATTCTTAGGCGCTCAACGAAAAGAACCAAATGTAATTTTAAATTTTAAATTTCTGCATATCAAATAAGGATCTTTGCCAATTTTTAATGTAATTTGTTAAATAGGGACAAAACTTTGCTATTCTTCAACTTGGTTTAATCGTATTTGATTTGGCCATCCATCTACTTTTTGTCATCAACAATTCAAAAGACATTCCATGGCTTTTCATTCCAAGGTAAAATGTTTATTTATTTTCTTTTTTTGCTAATAAATGTAAAAAGAATTTATTGAAATTTCCAACATTCATTTTTAAAAAGTGTTGTCTTTTTAGTTGTTCCTGTCGTACTGAATACACTCATAGCATTTTGGATTATTATGGAGGAAAACTCTAACCCAAAATTCTTTGCATGGTTTAATAAAAATGGAAAAGTTGCTTCGATATTTACATTACTGGCAGCTTCTGATATTGAAGCATTAATGATTTTACGATCAAATTTAGCAGGGTTTCGATTCTTTCAGGCACCATTTTCTAAGATTGCATTGTCTAGAATCTTTTGGACTGCATCTTTAAATATTTTTCTAGAGGATATACCTCGAGTAGTTATTCAGGTATAATGATTGTGCCTTTATTTATTGTCATATATAGTATACATAGATTCATCCCATTAACTAAAGAATCAATCTCGCTTCTAAAAACGTATCAGGCCATTTACTTTAATTATACTGTACAATACGATCTTATTCCCTTGCTTACTTTAGTGTCTTCATGCATAACTCTTTTGGTAAACTTGATTGGCCGTACTTATGAAGGAGTTTACAGAATCCGTCACCATGGCATCCCAAGTCAACCAGACTCGGATGACGAAGATGACAACTTTGGAGGTTCTAAAAAGAATATGGATGTTAAAGAAAAAAGAAGAAGTGGAAGTGGTAAAGATAATGAAAAAGATGAATATAATAAGTATAGTACTCCCGGAGATAATTACGCAAAAGATGATTACTCTTGGACTGATAGTGTAACTAGGGCTTCGACTATGACTAGTAGTGATGAAACTAGATTGTCTATGATTAGTGGAGACAATAGAGCAACTAGATCAGTTTTTCGGGAATCATTTAGTTAATTTAATTGTCTGAAAGTCTGATATCTATTTTATAATTAGTGTGTTTAATTTATGTAGCGTCAATTTTTATGTGATTATGTAGTCTACTATATGTAATATATGTATATGCGATGGTCGTTCTATACTAAATCTCTATATTGAGAACTTTTTACTATAACGAACTAAAAGGTCGGAACAAATAATTTGCATTTATTTTCGCCAAACGTATTGAATTTATATAATAAACTTGTTACACGCGTCAGAATCTAATTGAGCTTTGGGCAATAAGCTTTTTATTTGATCTCAACTATTCTCTTTTTGTTTCTTATGAAGTTGAAACTAATGTTAATTTTCTATATATAATCACGCACATTAATACGTGTAGCCATATTCGTTAAGATAAATTAACTAACGATAAAAACAGCATAACCATGGCTTGGAGCCAAGCGATCTTAAACTGGTATAACTAGCTCTAAAATCATGTTTAAACTGGTTAATTATTGTTGTGGCTAATACGTATTGAATTATTTTTAGAATAATATATAAAATCAAATAATTAGTTATATAAGGCCATACAAAAAAATTCATAACATAGCAAAAAATTTATGACCCGGCAACCCGGGTGTTTTTTTTATATATATAAATTTTTATATTGGTATAGGCCACACAAAATGATTGTAAATCACATGACCAGTAGGAGGGACCGTCCCAAATATGGAAACGTTTATCGATCATGTAACAATAGGATAATTGATTTTTTTTATACATTTTATAATACTTTTTTAAAATGCTCAGGTAGATTAACTTTCTATAAAACATGAGTAAATAAAACAGATGAAATTAATGCATTACTTCACCTTATAATATATTCACAATTCTTGAATGTGTGCCAGGTTTATGGCCAGCAGCAATCCTTTAATGTTCATTTATGTTAGGATTAGGGTCAGGGTTGGAATCAGAGGAGAGTAGTTTATATAGTAAAATTGCCCAATGTAAACTTTTATTAGAGCATTAAAGGTGATTTCTTATGCTGATTTTTTTGAGAAGTAAGCGATTCTTGACAAAACGGACGTTTGTTTTGAATTTTCTTGATTGTGTTACGCCTGATCTTGAAATCTGGTTCGTAGTTCAGGAAACCTGCGCCACAAACCTGGCACACATTCAAGAATTGCAATATATCCCGTTAATCCCACAGCCTTTTTCTTGCGATCTGATTGGCCGATTGGTTAAAATTCACTACACGATTGGTTGACAGCTTCGTGTAACCATATCTGAATCATTTCCGAATTCGGAACGCCCTCCTGCTCACGTGACCAAAAAGAGGTAGCTACGTATCCACTCCATAATATAAATTCCACAATAGGAAAACTGATCAAAGGTTGAAAATAATAAACGAATAATGTAACAGCATATGTTAAATAATGTAAACATTAGATAACAGAAAGACAAACATGGTAAACAAAAAACGTTACCAACTTAATTTTCAGTATCAACAGATTAAAAAAAATTTCCAAATCAGCCTTCTCATTACCAACCTAAGAATTGGAATCGGTTTAGTCGACTAAACCAATTCCAATCCTTGTACCAATTACAAATATCTTGTGATAAATCTTTGTACACTGTTTAACTTGGCATGCACTCTGCATTATCTGATTTGAATTCAAATCTGCTACTCAAAGATCCTATACTTTTGATAAAAGTGCTCCAAAATAAAACTGATGCTATTGCAATTACGTGTGAAGAATGTGATCAATTCCAAAAACAATGCTCCAACCTGCTTTAAAATTGATAATTACGTAGTTCTACCGTTTCTCTGCTCACATTCTTTGCTCATATTTCTCTGCCCACAGTCGACTTGCTTCAGCAAGAGAGAAATCATCTGTTTATTAGTTTTGTGCCAATTTCCGTTTCTGGCCAATCTCAGTCAATTACTTACTTCTATGTTATGGTTTGTGCTAGCTGATATTTTAATTGCTTTAAAAAAGAATCACCTCCGACTTGATAAATAATTTGCCAATTTAATCCAACAAGAATATGATGTGTGAGACGTTACTGTAAAAACACAATACATGAATCTGTTATTAATTGTGATCGTAATGGACATTAAAATACGTGTACAACATAAATTCATGAATAGTCCGCTGCATATAAACGCCACCAGGAAAAAAATGACATTGAAAATTTAAGTTTATAACTCATTTCACTTGATAAACCTGCTCATGATACATAAATTTAATTATGTTCATACACTGTTTATCATATTTTCAGGAACTAAACCTGATAAATTATAATTTAATTTGTTTTCTCTTGTCAAAATTCATGAGTGCGTGAAAGTGAAGACTCACGCAGTCAGGCCCCTCTAAATGCAACCCCTAAACGCAAGTCTTATGAAAAGCCACCCTAAATGCATGTCTTCGCTTGGACCAAGCTCATATAAAACCTATAGGTTTTTACCTTCCTAAATGCACGTTTGAATAAATTTTTATATATGGTCCCGTCATAATGCATTTAGAGAGGTCTGACTACATAGTTTTTCACCCTGGTAACTCATATTTGCAATTTGTTAACACAATCGCATCTGATAATGTGCATATAGTCTAATTTGCCAATTATGATGATATACGTATAGTACTTAGTATACACTTCACTTAACTTTGGTTTCTATTTTGTGGTCTAGATGGATAAGTATAGAAAGTGGAGTCTTGACTTAAATTACATGTAATAAAACAGGTTAGAATCGGGTTTATAATAAAGTAAATCAACTGCTTATGTAAAGGTATTATTCGTTCATATAATTATGCTCACGAAGGGACCTTGGTAAAGACTACCAAAATGAGTAATAGTAATCATCTGTTATTGGGAATGGAATGGTACCAAACTCCAAATAAATGGAATTGGATAATGGGATTTGATTAATATATTGTTCCAATTTCCAGTTTGACAGGGTACCGGAATTAAAGATGCACAAAATGCACAATTATATGCATTAATTCGCATGAACGTGCATTTAGTGGGTAGAAAGGAGCTTCCTGCAGGTTTTTTAAATCTCTGCATGATTAGTTTCGTTCTGAAGCTTACTTATTCGCTTCTCTCGAATCCTTGTTTGTATTTTGGAATTATTAATCAGCTATCGATTTTCCCAAGCATTATCGTGACTTCATATTAGTTATATAATTTCAGCTTACATACTAGTTGACTTTCAAAGGATGTTTTCCTATTCAAGTTTTTTTTATAAAAAAATTAGATATGATGATACGTTTAACAATAATGCGAAGCCATCTCTAATATATTAGATAATATACATATATTTTTTCGAATTAGAAGAGTCGATTATTATTAAGTAATCAATCAGCACAAGAATGTTCTTAAATAATAGACTACCTAATTCAAGAAGTATTATTTATCTGAAAATAAAAACGTGTAATATAATTTTTATTTAATACCAAGTGTAACAAAATGATATAAAATAAAGTGTTGATAAATTGATAACTAGTGGCAAACTTATAAAATCTTATCTATAGTTTCTTAACAATATATTGATTAAATGCCATTCGCAAATGTACATATTTCCAAAGGGTCAAAAACCCTACACGGTTGGTATATTCACCCCATTCCATTCGAAATGTCTATAAGAGAATTTTTTCAAAAACTTATTGTGGATGAAATATCTTCGGATTGTAATATTTCTATAAACTCCTTTGAAATAATTGAGAGAGTCGAATTAAGCGAGTCTGTAGGTACAAAAGCCATTCAGACCAGCCTTGACTGTGAAATAATAGAGATAACAAAAGCATTTGGTGCAAATATACACTTTCGTCTTAAATCCAACGATTCTACAAGTTCTTATTCAGCACCATCCCAAAATGCTTTCGAAATACTTATGCAAAGTTCTCATAAAAAACAAATACATTTGCCCACTCCTTTGGCATCATCACGATTAAACAGAAAGCAAATATTATATAATGATATCATTGAATGGATTCATACGCATGGTGGAGGTTGGCCTACAATTGAGCATGCTAATATACAAGGAAAAGGATTTGTTAGTAGTTTAAATGAAGCTATTTGGTATATAGATATGTGTGGGCATTCAAAATTTAAAAAACGTAGCTGCGAAATTCCTGAATTATTCTTAGAATTCTTTGGTCGCGCCAATCCCGAATCATATAAAGAATCCAGAAAACCTTTTAGTACAGATAAATTAAACCTTCATTGTCAGGCTCTTGCAGCATATGCAACATCACCGTGGATATTTAAACCCTTATTTGATTGGCTTCGCAATCCCTATAAAAACTTAATTGATTCTATTTCAAAATATGTTAGTTTTTTATATCAACAAAATAAAATTACTGCAGCGAATCATATATCTATTATCCCAGTACGAAGTATAGAACAAGCAACAACAATTAAAATTCATAAAGGCAATTCACAAATAACATTGAGTAACAAAATTAAATACCACCAACTAGAAAATATACTCAAAGACCTGCCTTTGTGGAAGCCAATTGATATTGAAAAGTATTTACCAACGGATTCTGTGTAAGCAAAATTAAAAATAACATTATAGTGTGCTGATTAGATACAAATATCCATGTATTTTTTTGTAATATGGTTTTTTTTTAAACTAAAAATATACCTGGATATTCATATTACTACATATTAATTTTGCATTATGTATGAGCATGGTCAGGAGAAAACTTGTTATCAGGCTTTCACTTATATTTCGTTTCGAACTTCAGGACTTATCTTTGAAAAGTCTGATCAGTATATATTCTACAGATTTCTCTTGACTGCACTTATATGCCCAATGCAATATATTCATCATTGACGAAATATAATCAGCTCTTTTTATAACGAACTGACGGTTCTTCTATAATAAAAATTTTTAGAAGTTCCTTATGGAGTAAATTGCTATGTTTTTATACCAAACTCTATAATAAAATTTTTAAAAAGTTCATTATAGAGTAAGTTCGTTATAAAAACTTCATTATATCCAGAGCCGACTGTATCTCAGTCATTTTGTAGATTCTTTGAATATTTTATATTAGACCCTCATAGTATTTTAGTTAGCACACTATGGATAATCATTAATAGTCATATAGTATTAATAATCTTTTTCTTTACAGTTCAAGAATGCGTTATATACAAGGATTACCTAATGCATTTACTTTTAATCTTGGTGAATATCGGTTCAATTCTGGCAATAATGCATTTAATGCAATTTCGATTTGGAAAATCGATCACAATGCTGATGAAACTGTAATGATTCAAAAAAATACACATATAATTAATGAACTTCAAGCCAATGCTCCTTATTATCATACTCGTGCAATGAGGATAAACTATTTATATGCATGTGATTTACTTTTACCAAAAGCTAAACCGGCTGCACTTCGTGTAATTTATCGCATGTTAACAGGTGATTCATCTGCACCAGAGTTTGTAAATGAAGCAAAAATAAATGAACAGGTTAGATTAGTTCTTGATTTAGGTGATCCAGAAATTACAGTAGACCTACGTGAGCACAATCCCGGGAGACCAGGCAAGTATGAAGCTTTTTGGGACATTGCGGCTAACTTTCTCTCAGGTAAAGCAACAGAGTTTGTAACTGTGGTAGATGAATGTCGGTATGACACAATCGTTCATCTAGCTACAGCAATTTCAGTTAATGACTTGTTAAATCAAATCAAAAAAGAATGCCCACCAAATATACCAATTTCAAGCAAACAATGGCTTTGTTTACAATTCTGGCCTAAAGATCCGACAAGACTTAATAGTCTACAATATACCAGACGTTTACCTTTAAAATTCATGGTACAAGTTCGGCAGCTTCATGCTTATCATCCAGACACACATTATGCATCAGCACTGTTCCGGTATGAAAAAGAGTTTGCAATAAAGTTTTGTGAAATTACAACATTAGTATTTTTAGATGACAAACATAGGTGTAAAGTTGGTGAACCAGGATATCCAGTCGCAGCTGTAGAAAAAGAGAAACAAGTTGTCGTTAGCAAAGAATCAACGTTTACAGTTAGTGATCATGACTATACAAAAACGGGAATAATACCAAGTGTTATAATGGTATGTGATATTCCAGAATCTATTAATGAAAGTTTTTATGCAGGGGAAGTTTATATTGGATTAAAGAATGCTATTTTTCAACCTTCCTCACCAATGAGGCATACAACTGAATTATATAATATTTTACTTGAAAAAAATCTTACTAATAAGCCCATATTGTGTCTTTATACAGATGGTGGTCCTGACCATCGTTGTACTTATACACGTGTACAATTATCATATATATGCTTATTTCTGGCTTTAGACCTTGATTATTTTGTTGCTGTAAGAACACCACCTCAGCATTTATGGAAAAATCCCATAGAACGTATAATGTCTATTTTGAATCTCGGACTTCAGTGTGTTGGTTTAATGCGAAGTAAAATGAATGATAGATTAGAAAAATTATTAAATAAAGCAAATACAATGAAAGAGATCCGACACATTGCAGAAAATGATCCTACCTTAAAAGAGGCACTTATTGCAGTGTACAGCAACCGATTCGCCTAGTACGTAGTATTTTTGAACGCCAATCATTAAAAGAAGTACCTTTTCAAACATTCGATGCAGCTATTGAAAATGAAATTATGGATCTATAGGAAACAATTCACCTAATTGACGAAAACGTGTCTCAGCAGGATCGCACAGCAGATAACCTAATAAAAAGAGTAAGTAAAATATTTAAAATTCATATCAGTATTTAAAGTCTGAACAAATACCAATTGCACAATATCCAATATATTTTATAAAAAATATCTTTTTTTGCTTTCCATATGCCTATTGTGTATTAATTTTTTAAAAAATTTCTGTGCGCTTATCAATTTTAAACTTTGGGTCCATTCAATGTTAATTTCTTATGCGGATAATGCACAATTTGAACCTTTTTCTGTGAGGCAAATAAAAAAAAAAAAAAGCGAAAACTGTACACACTATTTATAAAATAATTTTTTATGTGTGGCATCTGCACGTTTCTGTATGCTGTCACATTTCCGCATAGTGAAAAATAAACACTGGTTTCATACAAAATATCATTAACAATAATACTTTCTCTTTCTTTTTTTTTTTACAGCCACGATTGAAAGAATTTATGGAACACTGTTGTAAAGCAAGGCATTATTTTTTTACTATCAAGAAGTGTGGAAACGTAATATGTACAATTTGCCTACCACCACAATGTTTACGTGAAGAGTTTGAACAACTCCATTGCATCCCTGATCCGGTTCCTGGTGAAGGCATTCACTATAAATCATTCGAAGAATTGTATAGTACTTCTACAACAGAAGAATATAGGCCTTCACTTAAAAATACTAAATTACAAAAAATTAAGTTAGGTAAAGGAAAAGCTACTACAGTAGCGAAACATACAATGCCATTCAGTCCTTCTTCGATACGTGCCAAGAATGTTGGAATCACTGTTACTTGTGCTGAGTGTGAAAAACCACGTCTGTTATTTAGTGCCAAAAAATTGCTAATAAAGGAGCATGAATTGTTAGAGTCTTTCCTTGATATGATCTTATATACGTGTGGAATGTCATTTCATAATACCCATGATCTCGCATCTACTAAATATGACATCAATACTTTTGAGGATCGTGATCAATGAAGTGATAATTATAGCAATGATCAGCAAGTTAAAGACTCTCAACTTGAAGTGCAGGATGAAAATCAACAGAATAACGATGTAATTGCTAGTTCTAGTTATTTGTGTATAGAAAATGCAAGTGTTAGTAGCGATGAGGTTAGCAGTAATGAAATTAGTGATGATGAAGTGAGTGAAGTTAGTGATGAAGTGAGTAAAGTTAGTGATGAAGCTAGTGAGAATACAAATTATAAAAAGCCCAAGGATTCTGAAAGAAAATCTACAAATGTCTGTTATACGAGCTTTTTTAAAAAGATTTTATAAATAACTTTTGGAGTTGTGCATCGCCAATTGAAAAGCCGTATTACTCTGCAGGAATCTTTCCTAAGGTGTGCTATCTGTGTGGTGACCGAAATGCAGCAAAAACATCAAAGACTGAATGACCATTATGTGTTGAGTGTAAAGGAAATGCTTTGTCGAAAAAGCGCTTTATGTGGGTCCCAGGCACAACAAAAAAAGAGAAACAACTTCAAACTCAATAATTTTTCTGTGTAACTATATGCATGCGTGAACCAGATTGCAGGATTGTATTGACTTTTTTACTGTATATGGTTAGATCTCACGACTATCTTACACATTCGTGCAGCCAAAATTTCGTTGAAATCTGTTATTTTTATATGTACGCAAAATACTTAAATAAGATGGAATTGTATTACGTAGATACTACAATATGCAAATATGTATATTTACCAAGACAAATATCAATAAAATGTTTTAATGTATTCCTGCATTGAATATTCTACAAAAAAGATAAATTGATAACACTGATCGTCAAAGGCTATAATAATCGTAATGAAAGAATTTAAGAATAGAACTAAACTATATATAACTATATAAACAGCAGATACTGTTGATGTTACACGATTGATCCTTCACTCAGTGTGCAATACATAAAAAATTTATTTTACAATACCAGATCATTCTGCCAATACATGTTATGATTATAATCCAACACCATTTTATTATAATAAAATGGTGTTGGATTATAATTATAACGTGTACTAGCGGAATGTTCTGGTATTGTAAAATAAATTTTTTATGTGTTGCACACCGAGTGAAAGATCAATCGTGTAACATCAACGGTCTCTCCTGTAAACTATATAATTAGTAAAACCAGGTAGTAAAAATGGTGCATTTTTATTGGCTATTTATATACTGCATCTTAAAAAAAAAATTTCGATTTTCAAATTTTTTGACCCGGCCGGGATATGAAAACCAATAAATTTTTTTTGCATTGCCTTATATTATACTATAATCTTTGTTTAGATGACCAGTGGATTATCAATTATAAGAAAAAAAAGTAGGTTGTTTATAAACCAAAAATGTATAATTTTAAAAAAAATTTCAATAACCTATTTTTTAGTTTATCTATGATAAACTTTTTAAATATTAATTTTAAACTTATAGTTTTTAATACAACTTTTTAGTTTATATTAAAGATTATATTTTT